CGCTGGGTGTACATGAGCCCAAGCTCCGAATTGAATTAACCAAATTAATGTGGTTTCTACTCAAGTATATTAGAATTTGATACTTCTTCTAAAACAAGAATTAGAATTTGATACTGCTGGCAGAAACTATTAAGAACATTGAAGCTTTGCCCCTAGTCTTTGTGTTGGGTTGGACCTAGGCCCCTATGGATGTAGACCCTGATGACCATGTCACCATTTAATCAAGTGTGATATTTACTAGTCCAGTAGGAATAATATTATGGAACCGTGCTAGCAAAACTTAATAAACTATCTGCGATTATTTTATTTTATCCAATCAAGACCACAATCTATATGCTTTTGTTCGATCTGCTATTTCCACTTATCTTAATAATCTTTTTTAAATGCTTGCGAGGTGAAGGCGGGAGCTACGCCATGTCATATATGAAGAAGAAAGCTGTCCGGTTAATTTGAGAAAAACCTGACAAAAATGAGTGAAAACCGAAATACAAGCACGAAAAAAAGTAAAAAACAAATTAGAAGTTGTATGTAGTGTTTAGGCAACACATATAACACTAGGGGACATAGTCTGAGCTAGACACAAGTGTCGAGGCCCATAACCGTAAGGCACGGCTGTTGTGCAACCTGCTGGAGTTTGTTCTATTTTACTAGCCCATGACAGCGTGCGTTGCTGCATTCATCTATTTTTTCAATAAAATGGTAGTGATATTTATGAACATGAGAGATAAAGCATTAAGGTAACTTGTAAAATGGTTGCCAGCACAATAGAAGAGGGAGTTTGCTACCTCAAAGGGAAAACAACCGGTTGATCTGCACCTATGAGCAAATTTTATTGACCGTTACTATCGCCCTAGAATTGATCAGTAAGTATGTTCTCAATTGGTACATCATGGACATGACAAACAACAAGCACCCAGTACAAACACACCTTCTTCGGAAAAGGCTTTCGCCCCGCTTTATATATAAAGCACCAATCAACAAGCACTCAGTACAAACACACGCCAAGCCACCACAACACACGCACACACCCAGGACAGGATATATAGGTGCTGAGCGCAGCAACACCGCCCCTAGCACCACCGCCCCGAAGAGATGAAGCTACATACGACGAACCATGCGCTCCAAGGTGGCGCCTTCAGGAAGGATACGACACCGGAGCGTCGCCACCGCCCGATCCAAGGATCAGACATTGGTAGAAAAAGGGCCTGTAGTCCCGGTTCGTAAGGGCCTTTTGTCCCAGTTCTGGAACCGGGACTAAAGGGTCGGTACTAATGCCCTGTCCCTTTAGTCCCGGTTCAATCCAGAACCGGGACAGATGGGCCTGCACGTGGCCTGTGCACGGAGCCCAGGCAGGAGACCCTTTGGTCCCGGTTGATGGCACCAACCGGGACCAATAG